CCATTGTGACCCAACGACTGCCTGTTCCCTGTTCCCATCTACTCCCTGTAGCCAGGTCGGCAGTCCAGACAGATGTCAACAGGGGTGGTTTGGTTCCTACTGCCAGAGACGTGAGTATTCGGGATTGGCTTTTGTTTTTCTTTCTTGGCAGTACTCTGCAGTACTCCGAAAAAAAACCTGGCTTTGTGTTACCAACATAATCAATTTCAAACTGCTCATCTTTGCTTAAAAGTGTTTGAATACGACTCAGTCCCATCATATCTGTCATCACTCCTCAAAAGTCACATTCCATCCCGAACTCTTATATCACAGAACAAAGACTTAATCATCATACCCAAATCAAGAACCAACTACGACTCCCTTTCCGATGTGCATCATCTGGCCTTTGGAACAATCTTCCCATGAAAATGAAACTGGCATCCAGTCTCCAAGCTTTCCCCAAGCAATTAAAAACACATCTGTTTTCTTCCACACAGACTGTACTACGTACATTGTATAGGAAACTCAGCGCTATATGAACAGGATATTATCATATATTATCACTATTATTGTATGTGACTTCCATCTTGTCACTATTAAAATTAGTCCATCTCGGTAAATTACATACTGACTTCGATCTGTGTTTTAGATTGAAAACACTTTGCAGAATGCAACTGAAAGAACGACGCCAACGTTTTGAACAGTTGGGTGCATACTAAGATTTAAACTGGAATATGCAATTGCCGAAAAATTAAGTTGTTGTGTGGGGGGAAATGTGACGTACTTAGAGATTATTACATTCCTTTGCGTGTAGTTTTAAGAAAGTGTAAGATATAAACATGTATTCCGACACGATGTTATTATGAACAGGACTCATTACTATGCAAAGATATGATTAGCTGTTGTGAAGAAATGGTAATTAATATTGAAAGCCGTACAAAGAAGCTACTAGTGTCAACACTGTTAGACTGTATCGTCATCATATACAGTTGTTACTATATTAGTTTCGCAAGGGTGTCTGTATTAAGCCAGCAATGCTACTTGACATATGAAATCCATAAGCCACGTTGGCTTCCAAAGGTTTCTATAGCTCAGTTTATGAAGTAAACTGAATGTTAATAAATACTGTACACTACCATGCTTTACCTGTTGTCAGACATGAACCTTCTCGCTCCACCATTGTCTCATGTTATGGTGTTGTACATTGTTTCTTTTTCTTCAGAAAATATTGCTTTAGGAAGAAGTGCCATCCAGAGCAGTACATACGTTGAAAACAGTGACCGGACAGGGTTTACATCACACTATTTCGAGGCCACATATGCTGTAGATGGCAGAGCTACCACCGACTTCTATAGCAAACCACTAACATGCACACATACAAACGGGAGAGTCCAAACATGGACTGTGTACCTGGACACCCCAAACACATACCAGATACAACGCATCAGGCTGTATCTACGTGAAAAGTGTGAGTATGGGTAGCAAAATATAAATTTTGTGTTTTTCTCAATGTGAAGAATACCAATAAAATGTAGCACGTTTATCTACACATAACTGAATCCTTAACAAAACAAAATGTATCGTTGGTGTATGGTTCTTGTACTGCTATATAACAGGTGCTTATGGATTGTTGTAGGTATATGTACGTTGTGGTCAAAAGCCATGGTTATCCTAATCACAGGTAACATTTTTTATGTCTTTTTGGAATTGTGTTCGCGAAAGCCATTACTTGCTGTACCATTTCACGTGGCTAATCGATCTGGATTTTCATCAAATAAAACACCCGACCTTCAAAAGATTTCACAGTTTCACTTCAAATTCAGTACTTAACAGAAACCAAGGCATGAAGATATCTGTCGGTGGACAGCTGTGCTTCCAGTGGCCAACCAATACCTATCCGCCTGCTACAGCTGACGTGAGCTGTCAACAACCACTGACAGGAAACACACTCACCATACAGACAAGCGATTTTCTCACGCTCTGCGAAGTGCAGATATTTGGTAGGTAAACATACACCACTGATCGTGTGAGCGAAAGTTTTGGGTTTTCATGTTTTTAACAATAACTCAGTTATATCACAGCATGACTAAGGCGCCGCAATACCCCGTGCAGAGTTGCGTCCTTGGGTGCGTCCCGTGAAGATTCCGGGTTAGAATTGGTCTTCAGCAACTCATGCTTGTAAGAGGCGACTGACGGGATGGGTGGTCAAGACTCGCTGACTTGGTGGATGCATGTCATCGTATCCCAATTGCGCAGATCGATGCTCGGGGTGTCAATCACTGGATTGTCTGGTCCAGATTCAATTATTCACAGACCGCCGTCATATAGCTGGAATTGCTAGCGTTAAACAGCAAACATACAAATCCTTTTGGTTCGCCAGAAGCCTTTGATCGTGGTTTGGAATCCCGGCAAACCCCGATTATGTGTCTAGGTTTGTCCGCACCATATCCGTGCTCCTGTGTATCAGTAAAAGTCAGAGACCTGCTTTCTCCCACATACAGCTGATATAACTGGAATGCTGTTCAAAGCGGCGTCAAACCCTACTTATTACTCACTCACTAAATGTGAGTGAAAAGTCCAAAGACAATTGCTGACGAACTAAACATTCAAACCCACGATCAACAACGGCACAGATATTTTGGTAAATGACACAAAAGAAAATAAGTCTCCAAACAAGCTCTAGTAATGGAACTGTATTGACAGGACAGATAAACTTAATGGCAGATTGTCGCCACGTTAACCTTAATGTTTTGTTGGTTTTAAATGGTCGGCGGAGTTCATCCTTTTCCACAGTTGTGTTCATCATTAATGATGAATATGATTTTAATAAGCGTATGTCGTCTGTCACTTATATATCATGTTAGTTATATATATTCTTACATGTTCATATTTAGTTTGCAGTGACGGCTGGTTTGATGAGGACTGTGACAAACAGTGTCACTGTTCACAAAATACAGAAGTATGTGACAAGATCACTGGACAGTGTCCAAATGGATGTGCCCCTGGATACACGGGAAGAAATTGCCAATCAGGTACAGGTTCTGAACCTCACACAGCCAGATTTGCACAATCTTTTGTTGTGAACATTACATACTGTCATGGAGGTCTATTATGAGCAACTTGTTTCGCTGTGAAATAAACAGGTGTCTGTGACCTTATGCAAAAGTACAAAAGTGAGGAACATACATTGTGTAATACATTAACAACGCTGCTTTAACTTTGTGCTGACGCGGTCGTCATCTTTAATCTTCATGTACTCCTTTAACCCTTTAGAGTGCAGCAAAAGTTTAGTAAGACAGTATGCATCGGTATGTATTAAGTTGTTAAAATGTCCACAATAAAGTGTCTTCGCAAGCCATTGTTAATATTCAATGGCATTCACCGTAATTTACGCCAGTTCTAATAAGTATTTTTTAAGACACATTTGTTTCGTGCAGGCCCCATACAGTATATACCACTGATGTCTCTAGGGTACGTGTATCGTATTATCATAAACATGAATTATATGCAATGTGTACTGTATATATGTAATCGGTGTGTATTATGTACATGTATGATGTAGTTGACCAACGGATTGTTTTACATGATAATACAGCATGTCAAGACGGTTACTATGGAGATTGCACCTCCAAGTGTGGAAACTGCCGCAACGCTGTCCATTGTTACAAGGCTTCAGGCTTCTGTCCAGGAGGTTGTGCAGCAGGGTGGTTAAATGACGACACCTGTCTTCAACGTGAGTACACTTCCTTCGTTTTTTTAATTGTGTGATTTTATGCATATTCTCAGTCAGTTTCTCAATGTAAATTGGCTAATGAGGACTTTCATAAAGATAGGGTTTTCACTGAATATGATCACGTTTTCTTACAATTCAAAGATAACACATTCCCAAGAGTCATAGTCTTCCGCAATCATAAAGCACCTAAAACACGTTTTATGTCAGTCAGGAAAACCGGGTTTTTATTAATATGTACTTTATTGCCGGCAATAGGAATTACTTTCATTGCATGGACAGTTACTATTGACTGCAGTCTTGAAATATAAAGGATGACACAGATATATCATTGTTTGATGTTAGGTTTGTCTGAGTTACCTTTCTTTACCTATATTTACGTATATAAATATAAGCAGCAAAACGCTTTCCATATTCAAAAGAAATCCCTGCTGAAGGCAGAGTCGACTTACGATTCCGACGTTTACATGAGTATGTGTAAGGAATAGTGATGATACTAAGCGTTCGCAAAAAGGGACATATCCTGCCCCACCGATAGCACCCGTCACAAACACATGCCAAGGCAAGTCAACTGTATACATGAAAACAAACACGGGAACATAATGGTAAAAGTCAAAATAGGGAATGCATCAGACATTCTTTTGTCACTAATGCGTCAGATTTGGAAACGTCCTTCATATGTCTAACATAAAACTTTCTCATTAACAGACTTCTTGAATGTTGTAACTTTTGAGCAGGAGTCGAAAGACGCTCCTGAAAATTTGTTTGAAAGGGCATGCCTTAAAAGGTGTAAAATGTAAACACGAAAGGACGTACCTACGGAATATTGTTCGGTATAACAGGAGAGTTGAAGTCCACCCTCTTGTTATAAGTCGTACTGACGTCACATCAACGTCCTAGACCAACTCAACAAACGTAACAGGGCAATCGTAAATTTAGTTGTATGTGAACCATTTTGCCATCATGTTTTCACAGATATTCTTAATAATATATATACGGTTCTGATATGTACCTTGATGCGTCGGACACAAATATAGAAACATAATTGGTGCATGTAATTGGTTCGGGATTCGAACCCACACTCAAAGGTTCCTGGCGTGCTCAAGGGACGGAACTCTCCACAGCGAATCGCGGCGCCTTAGACGACTGGGCCACCCGTGCCCGCAATATTTAATAGCATTATCTTTTGGGTATGTACCTTCAAATTGAGAATGTGCATGTCAACAAAGAAAATGTATGGTATTATTATCTAATGATAAAGTTGACAAATTTATTGTTTTAACATCCACAGCGTGTCCAGACGGTTACTTTGGAAATTGCACCTCCAAGTGTGGAAGCTGCCGCAACGCTGTCCATTGTTACAAGGCTTCAGGCTTCTGTCCAGGAGGTTGTGCAGCAGGGTGGTTAACTGACACCTGTCTTCAACGTGAGTACACTTCTTTGCTGTGAGTGCAATTTTCAGCATATTCTAAGTGTATTTTTCTTTAAGTGAATTGGATAATGATCCCTTTCATATCCCTTTTTTTCTCAGTGACTATGATGAGGACAGAGTTGATTCTCCAAAACTCAGTTTTCAGCGCTTAGAAATAAATAAAACCTTTTCCACAATTAGTGATCGTGTGATGGTGTACCAGATCCTATCGGTCGCACCCGCCACAAACACATGCAAAGCCACTTCAATGTTTCAAAGACAAACAAAGATAGTTACGTATAATGCAATTCCTCCAGGAATCGTTACTCGCATAATTTTAGTCACTATATTGACATACCCTCAACATGTGCTTGTCTCTCATAAAATATTTTGAACGCTTTATTGAGGCATCTGATTCTTTAACCCTGATCAAACATGTTTCGAGCATATGATGCTCTTTGAAATCTTCGTAGAAAGCGTATGCTCATTTGAACCTCAAAAGATCTGAAATGTACACGCCAAAGGCTGAAGGTGCTTGAATATTGGAGGAAAATTGACTTCTTGTCATACAGTCTTGTGGAATTGTTTTATAACTTTTATAACCCTTTTTGTCGAGGGATTTATCCTTTGTTTTCTCACATACTTATTTAGTATAGCTTCAGCTGTGCCTGTCGAAATGGACTATAACTTACGGTAGTTTATGTCACCAAAGAGAAGTTAAATGTATGTGTGAATCTTCCCCAGGGCACAAAGCTATGTGCTGCCAACAACAGAATACCTTCCATGTTTCTCATCGTCATGTAATTCTAATTATAATGTGTACAGCGTGTCCGGATGGATGGTATGGTATCAACTGTGCCTCCCAGTGTGGAAACTGTCTCGATGGTCATACATGTAACAAGTCAACAGGAATATGCCCAAGAGGATGTGCTGCAGGTTGGATGAACGACACCTGTGTTCAACGTGAGTGTAGATTTTATACGGTGCAGTACGATACTTACGACTGTATGTGTCCTCTTAACCTAGGTTATTCCAACAAGTATATTTATGCCTTGAATGTTGATGTGATATAAATATGAGTTTCTGTGCTTCTAGATCAATAATAGCACACTATTGAACTACCAATGGTGTTTGTTTGTTAATTCCTACCTATTGGTCATCTACATGTAGTCTACTACCTGTGAATTTGATGTTATTGTGTTCGTAATTCCGTTTTGTCACCATTGGAATAAAGAAGGTGAGACACACGTTCATACAAGTTATTTCAAATAGCATTGACATCATGAACAAACCATTGATTTATGTCCGCAGCATGTCCAAGTGGTTCCTTTGGTCCGGACTGTGGCGTCCAGTGTGGCAACTGTCTGGATGGCGATGTTTGCATCAAGACAAATGGAACATGTCCTGGAGGATGTGCAGCAGGGTGGATCAGTGACAGGTGTAATCAAGGTAAGTCAGACCTGTGCATTGTATGCGATGTAAACATATGAACATTTAAGTGAAAAAAAGTCAAATATGATTCTTACAACATAACGTTGTCAAGTCTTCCAAATCAGGTTTTTGAGGGTCGGTTTTAGATGTACAGTTTCGTGATTGGCGACACCTCCGAAGTTTCATGTACAAAACTGTAGGTTGGTGCGAGTAAAGGTATATGCGTAAAGCTAGCATATGCCCTATTTCAGGCGATATTTACATTAAAATTTTACATTTTCAATTCAAATTGTTTATATTGACATATCAAAGCTGGCAAAGATAACTGAAGTGGACATAAAATATTTACCAAATATAACGAAATATGTAACTGTCAGGTGTCCTGTTCGCTATCGTTTCGTGGGCCTGAAAGGTGAAACTCTTTCTTGACAGTTTACCCGGTTAATCCTCGTGAAAAATAACCGTTGCAATGAAGTCGAACACACAATGTCGCGGGAACGAGATGAGTAAAGTCTATGTACATGATGTTGTTTGTAGATTAGAATGTAATATTTATATCACTTAGTGACTTATCTATTTGCGTTTACTGTTAAATGTACGCTCACAGCTTCATGTGTCATGTACACTTCTGTTTGCAGCATGTCCAGATGGTGTTTATGGTATTGACTGCACGTCCAGGTGTGGAAACTGTCTAAATGGTAATGCGTGTGACAAGTCAACAGGAACATGCCCTAGAGGATGTGGAGCAGGGTGGATGAATACCACGTGTCATAACGGTAAATCGTTGATTGGTTTTCAGTTCGTGTCTCATAAAAGATATCCATACATTCAACACATGCAGAAGGTATCCATGTGCATATATTGTCACATTCATCTCTTGCTTCATTCACATTTATCACTTGCCAGGTATACATTTGCAGAAGTGATTGATCAAAAGAGTAAATTGGTATTGTTTTGGAAAAATCCATTTCAATACTGCATAATAAGTTCTATGGAAAAGGATATAAATATCCAACCATAAAACACGGAAACAGGCATTGAAAAGAGGAGTATGAAATATGCTTCCGAAAGACAATTAATCATGTGAACTTAATCAGCTATGACATGTCATTTGTCATTGCGTGTCGGTGCAAGTGTTTGCGTGCGCATGCATATCCATGTGCATGTTTACTCAGTATTTCTGTTGATTCTGCATTTCCATCACAAATTGTATCGTTTTCTAAATGTACTTCCTGATTGACTGAATATCAGAAGTCATAATTACTCACGTAAAAACGGTTGGCCATTTTAAGTTCAGTCTGTGCATAATCATCAATTAGAACTTCCACGGGTATTGTTTATGAGAACAAATGTATATTACGTTTCATCTGACACCAGAAGATGCAGGTAAATGTGACTTGGCAATGCAATACTGGCTCTTTCAGTGTGTGACGACGGGAGGTATGGCAGTGGATGTGCGTCAGAATGTGGTCACTGCAAGAGTGGTACAGTATGTGACAAAACGAACGGAACCTGCGGGAACGGATGTGATGGAGGATATTCAGGTCTTCGTTGCGCGCGTAAGTATGTGCGTACATGTCTTAACATGGAAAGGAACATATTTTCTAAAATGAACAAGGAAAGAATTATTTAGACGAACACCCTAAATTACAGTGAACGAAAACAGCCACTTCTTAAATACCGTAAATCTTGAACTGCTGTACCCTTACAAATAATTCAACAATCTTAATGCGACCTTCCCCAAACCCCAGTCGAATTTTAGAGAGAGAAAATTGCTTCCATGAGGTCTACCCGAGATGTATTTAATAACAGACTGTTAGAACCTCTGGAGATGACTCTTACAAAAGAATCAAATCCTTAGAAGTATGAATAATTAAAGAATGTTGGCCTTGGCCTGTATTCACTCAAAGACGCCTTTGCCATGAAATTTAACGGAATGCAGGTGCTGGTGATCTTTCGCTTACGTTAACACGAGTTGTGTCCCTTTGACGTTTTATAGGAAAGTAAATCTTTGACTGATGATTTAGAGAATAATTTACGAGCTACGAGGAATTACGGATAATACATGTATGTGCCTAGTGAAATTAAATGTCCTTTTCACGCAACATGTATGTGCTCATCTCGTTCACATTATGTAATGTTTCGTCAGCTGTTAGAGAGACACGACCCTCGTAACAATTAAACGTATCCATCCGCGTGTAAAACGTCATCTCTCATACACAAATTACTTTATCACTTTGGTTTTGACGAAGCCAGTGAGCAAATAGTCCAAATAATGTAGTCGCAAATAAATGGTTCTGTTTGATCGTACAACCATACAATAAACAAATTTTCGGGAAGATCTATAACAAATACACCCCCTTACTGTTATTGTACCTGTCACAAACTGACAGGAATCGTCGACTGCTACCAAATGAAATGCCATTCGATATAGATGTTGGACAGATTGCTTATGATGTGCGTCATATTACGTTTGTAGAATCTGACGTCTAAACTCCATCACCATCGAAGAACGGCGAATAATCAACGATCACATAAGTGTTGTTTAAGATCAACTTTCGTCTAAAACAAATACACTCAGTGTTGAACTTGCATAAAGATAATTTCGTATGTAAATGACCAAACGTATCACATTCACTGCAGACGTTATCCCATGCATTTACACTATTGGACACATGGGCTTACACCTCTGGCACTCAAATACATCACATGACTCTTATGCACTGGAACAAGATCAACATCACAACACTACTATGCCAATAACGGTATTGGCCTATCCTCACAAAAATTGTGCAAAAAGAGACATTGTATGATTTGACTATGTAATAACCATGTGTAACGTCCTCCCCGCTGAACCAATAGCCCATAGTATTTGAAAAGGGTACAAAGAAAGTTATATGATGGGGATTCTGGGACAGAAGAGGTCCTCAGTATCCCATGCTTGACGCAGGAGCCTACATACGATTATAAGGTGTAGGTGTAGGTGTAGGAGTCGATCATGCTATCACCCTGGTCCAGACATGATTGTTTACACACGGACCATATGTAGCCTGAACATTGTAGTTATTTGCTTAATCGAGTGTCCAGAGATACGTGTCAACTTTAAGATTTGTTCAACCTTGTGAAACGAAATCCTTAATCTGCCCCAATGTTTGATATAAGGGCGACACGAAAGATATTTCAATTTATCATATAATGGGCAGGTTTCTCGGCAGGATAAAGCCAACGGATAAAAACGATATCCGTTGGGGTCATATGCGGATAGAGATGCAAATATCAAAGGTCAAGTAGGACTACTTTCACTGTTTATAAACAAACATGGCGTCGTCCTCGTCATTCGGCGATCGAGTCAAAATTAACCATCGGGAATCTGGATAAACAACAGGGATAATTGCCATCATTATCAAAAGAACAGTCTAATATACTGAAAATCAGTGTCTAACTGTGACGTAGCTAAGGCATTTTATAAGTTTTGGCTACTTTGGAGGTATAAATTTCGAAACAATTTTGCGAGGGCGCGAGGCCTAGCCAAGCGGGATCAGTAGCAATATCTGTGCTTGTAGACCTCTGCGACTTGAAACCTTCTCCACAAATTAAAATAGTTGGATTTGGCCGAAATATGTTTGAATTGTTACCTTGTTTGGTTTTGTCGCTGTGTGTACATCTGACTACACTTCTTAACGTTATGACAGGACAGACTGACTGTCAACAACGTCTGACCGTGCCCGTGACGTCTCATAGACTAGGGTTAGAGTAGCTTCCCTTTGACAAAGGGCAGTTACTCTAGCGGACAGACCGATGGATTGCCGCGAAAGGCAATTACAAACAACTGTTGTTTTGCGTATATGTTGCTTCGCCACTGTATAAGAAACAGATTTCAGTTGGAACTATATTGGCTACTGTCACTGTCCGACTGACACATCACTTACCCTGTGACGTAATAAATATTAATGCGCGCATTCCAGGAAAACTCGCAATGTTTCGGTAATGTTTGTGAGAGAGGGAAAGCGATTTTAAAGCACAGAATTAAAGCATGACATTATATGATAAAGAGGTTATCACGCTTGTGTGTTTGGGGATGGTAAATATCCTGTATTAGGAATAAACACTATGTATTTAGCTCGCCAAGGCTCGCTAAATACAATGTTTATTCCTAATGCAGGATATTTACCATCCCCAAACACACTCGCGTTATAACCTCTATTTATGCAAACATTTACGATAAAAGAAGAGAAACAATCCAATACATGTACACTTGTTTTATGTTATTGAAATAAATATTGTTCAAAGCAATTATTTTTTTACCTTTTGTAGGTCTGTCGAATACTGCTGGAAAGGACGACTCTATGGCTGGAATAATTGGAGGGGCAGTTGCAGCGCTGTTGGTCATCGCTATCGTCGTAATCGTCGCAGTTGTTATCTACAGGCGGCGGTAACAACACTTTTACAGCTCATTTATTTACATTTACCTCTTGTCAACCTCAATTATGTTTCTATATGCATCACCTCATATTTTGAAATTTTATGGATATCACATTTAATATCTCCACCATGTGGCCATTTCAACAATGGAGATGCTCTCAGATTCCATTACCTTCTTTTTTCTTCTGTTAAGAAAAGGACCAAAACATGACGACGAGAGATTGCAGTCTAACCAAGACATGATTGTAGTTAAAACCATAACTGGTAAGATTGAGGTGCTGTCAAATTGTACTGATATGGATAATAACAAAATAACCCGTATCCTTAGTAAATAAATTCACATAACCCACACATATTGAAACAAAATAAATGTTACTGTGTACATGTATAAAAGTAAGTAAAGTTCAGGATACCATATGTTACAGCTGTAAATTGTAAGCAGGTTGAAATCAAATGGCGCATCATTCTATCAAATGGAAAAGACGGTGTTATTTCACTCACTTGTGTTTTCTTAATGGATTTAGTATATTTGCTACCATAAGCACGTTGTACATTAAAGGTTATGCAATGATGTGTTTTCCAAACTTTAGTGAGGTGTGGATACTGCTTGATTAATGGCAAATGACTCTCTGTTCTGAAAAGAAGGTAATTTCAAAACTTCTAGATTTATTTTTCAGACAACGCAGCCAGAAAGAAATCTATATCAACACCAGCGGCCCGCGACGATGAGGACGAAGATGCCACACTATCTGTTGAAGCTGAAGTAGACGGAGACAACGAGGCTGCCGCCACCTATTACAACTTTGTACCACCTCACATGACGCTGGAGAAACTGCAACAGTGTATAAGTGAGAAGAAAACTAAGGCCACTTTTGCAACAGAATTTCAGGTTTGTTGGTAACTTAAAATATACCCTGCTTGAACGGTCCACATTGTCGAAAGGACACTGAGGTAACCTAGTGGGTAAAGCTTTGGATCGTTATATCTAATTCTCGGGTTCGAATTTGTACATCCATTTTGCGAGTCCATTCATGATTCACTTGAATATTGCGATACATATTGCAGGGAGAAACACACTTAAATATGTTGACATTGTATCACATAATCTGCTATATTGTCTTTATATACAGCCTAGCCTGGAGATTCCCATATCTAACATGTGGTAAACGATTATAAGAAATGAATCTTTAACAAATAAAACCTAATTCGCACAATAAATGACTTCAGAAATTATTTCATAGAACAGAATACCGACAAGTCACCTGTCATGTATGTCACAAAGCATGCATGCCAGTCAGGGCATGATCAAGCACTGACATATTGCATATTACAACACAACATCGAGAGAGGTGACAAGCTGAAAACTTCTCCTGGACGTGATTTTGTGTTTCTCTGCAAGAGTGAACATCAGCTCTCAAGGGACAGTGTCATCGATCTAAATACGGTTCACGATTTCCTAATTTGGTTTAAAGAAAAAAACAGCATCACAAATTATCCTTGACACAAATGGACTCGTCCTAGAGGTAATGAGTAATGAGTACTAACAAAATGGGCAAAACCTATGTTTTAGGCCATCCCATATGGAGCAAAACACCCACACGACGTCGGCAAGCAGCCAGAAAACAAGAAGAAGAACCGCTTCCTTGCTCTGTATCCATGTAAGTTAATCATGTATTATATCATTAACGGTATATTACTGGCGTGGATATCAAGATCATACATTAAAAGATAAATAAATATGCATGACATATATAAACAGTGATTGAACAAATATGGTCGTATACTGATACTTGCATACATGGATATGCTATTGAGATTTTCCTGATAGCATTATCTATTCAATATCATTATTTATGATTACTACTTCAAAGGAAACTATAGTTATCACTATAACTATGCAAAACCGTTCATGCTGCTGGTTATATAATTATTCACTTCAGATGATGAATCGAGGGTAGTGTTGGCAGATGGAGAGGAGTACATCAATGCTAATTACATCACTGTGAGTGGCACAGACAATTTGACCTTTGTACATTGAAATCAAAATGACAACGACAAAGAATAGTCAGTCTCGGATATCTTTCATTTAACGTAACAGGCAATACAGTGATGAACATTACATGAATGGGTAACTGAAAATCAGTTGTGACACAAGGATAATTATTATACATACTTGTACACTACATTTTATAAGTTTATATCTTTCCATCGCAAATATAGCGATTATAAGTAATATCACCTCTATCACCATGGAGGCAAGGTGCGCGTAATTTATTTAATATATGCAGACAAAGTGTTAATGTTCTTTATACTACTTTTCAGGGGTATGATGATACTCAGAAGTACATTGCAACACAAGGTAGGTTAGATAATTCATTCTGAGGTACAATACAAGTGTGTAAAAAGTATTAGGTTGAATCATTTGTACTAGAAATGAAATTAGTTTCTTTGAATAAATAAAAATGTATAAACACCACAGGACCCAAACCGGTGACAATCACTGACTTCTGGCGGATGGTGTGGCAGGAGGACGTCACCCAGATAGTCATGCTGACCAGGCTGATGGAGATGAACAAGGTAGGATGTGTTTCCTGGCTTCTTTTTGTCTACCTTGAGAACTATCTGATAATTTATGTTGAGACATACTGTGAAGGTGTTGATTGGTTCTACAACAATGTTACAATTAATCTAATGCATTTATCATTTTCTAGAAAAAAAGTGAAAAATACTGGCCCGATGCGAACAAGACCGAAAACTACGAAAACGTGAAGGTTTATAGCAAGAATGTGTTAACAAGAGCTGATTACACTCTCTCAACTTTTGTGGTACAAAGCTCCGTAAGTATATGTGTATTGGGATGAAATCTTACTATAGAGTGGTTGAATATTGTAACTTCAATGAGAACGTATTATATGTTATTGCAGTTAATGCAAATACATGTTCATATGTATCAGCAACTTATAGGTTTCATTATTATTATTCCTACACAATGCAAAAATGTCAAACCTAGTTTAATGATTTTAATATGTATTTGAATATGTCATTGTCTCTTTGGCTTAAACAGATATTAATCGGCATAAATGTATAAGCAAGCAGTATCAGTATGTATATGCAATTGTCTGCATGCCATGAATCAAAATATGAAGTTGATTGATTGATTAATACTTGAATTGATTTATTGTAATTCTGTTGATTGATTGGTTGATTGATTGCTATTTTGCTCCACTCAGGGTATCGAGAGAACTGTTACGCACTACCACTTCACATCCTGGCCTGACCATGGTGTTCCTTCTGTCCCTGCCCTCGTCAACTTCTGGAGACTGGTCAAACAGGGGGACATGGCCAGGGGGCCCATGGTGGTGCACTGCAGGTATGTTCTGGGCGCTCACTGGCACAGAGACTGGCCATGGGTTTGTTCACTGCAGGTAACTTTCCAGAAACGGGATATGTCATAATTCAGTACAGGTATGTTACATGTACACGTGGGGATGGGGCCAAATTGAAAGTAAAGTATGTAGACATTGATGGGAGTCATGGTAGGTGACACCTGCATATTAGTGACTGAACGGGAGGACTCTTTCCTGCACACGCCGTGACAACTATATGCTGATACTGGGACACATGGACACTTGCCTCGATCCGTGATCTTCTGAGTGAATATCTCCAATATGTGGACGCCAATATAGACTCAGAGACCGGTGTTTTAAGGCAGGCTGCAAAGATCTGTAGGTCGAAGCTAAAGACCTTTAGGTCTTCTGCCATGGTAATTTTAGTTCTGTCATATCATGCTGGTCTCAAGCGGATACCACTTTGGGGGTATCAAACGGGAACGGGTATTTTGATGACAAGTCAAGTATCATTCTCTGAGCAAATTCCCGATTCGAATCACGATTTGCAGACGGACTCTTGCACAGTGGCGTCTTCGGAGAATGGGCCACCTATGACCCCAATTCGTCAAGGTCGTTATGTCAGCAAGCAACCATGCATTGATGACAATTAAATTGTGCCAGCTACACAGACTTCTTATAGAGAACGACGCGCGTAGTGTTGACTGATCGTCAACTTCACTTAAGAAATAGATTTACAAATAAGCACGTTTCAAGAAAGTATTATTCTTATGTTTCAAGCGCTGGGGTAGGCCGAACAGGGGCGTTCATTGCCCTGGACTACCTGATGGATGAAGCTGCGAGTGTTAACAGAGTCAATGTGTTCATGTGTGTCAGCGCGATGAGACAGAACAGGATGAACATGGTCCAGACGGAGGTATGTGGACACTATATCAACACCAGCCTAAATATTGCACGAACTAGCAAACAATAGTGTATTGACTTCTGTTAAGGAACCTCTGTAATGTTTTCATTCTTTCTGCTGCTAACAGTATACAAATCCACATAAACTACATGTACATAGTTTTGACCGTGTTTCATTTTTTATCCTTTTGTCCAGAGTCAGTACGAGTTTGTCCATGATGTTGTCCTGGAGGCGCTCCACAGTCTGGGGACGCTGTACACGTTCTCAGAATTCGACAAAACTTTCGGCCTCGGAGACACATTTACGGCTCAACAGCAGAATATGCTGAAGAAACAATTCAAGGTATTTCAATAGCAAAACCTAGTTGTAGTAGGACAAGAGCAGGCCATCTTACAGAAACAATAATGTCTCCACTCCTAAAGGGAGGGGAGACATATTGTTTTTGGCTCGATTCGCGTTGGCGCTGGCGTCCCATCCTATTCGGAGGCATTGCTTGCAAACCGTTCAATGCTTTTAAACGTAACTTGGTCAATGCATTCCTCGTAAGCTCAACTGGTGTCGGATGCTATCTTTAAACTTTTTTTCAATGGAAACAACTCTAGGCTTCAGATCATTTCCCGTGCCATATCCTTCAAACTAATGAATATTTTTGCACGACACTACATGTGCTATGACCACATGCTCAACTATTACCTTTTCATATATTTGTTAATTTCTTGTGTTTCCAGGGAAAGTCATTGGGGGTCTTTCCACTTAGCATAAACTACTGATCGTTCATTATGGGTACATCTGCTTGCACAATACAATCTATCATCTAACCTGATGTTATAACTTCAATAGTCTTACTTGCTATAAACATGGTATCATTAATGCATTAATCAGAATGTTAAATAGTATTTGTGTTTGCTGTTATGGCTTTTTCGGATTTCCACACATATTTATAGTAACAACTTGAACTAATGCATCAAAGAACGGAGGATGAGACATCTTTTTGTATGAGTAAATCCTCATTTTAGTTTAAGGTCTTTCAGTAGCAAGACCTTGTCGTAGTTGGTCAATACGAGGCCGTGCTGAAGGAACAAGGTAGTTCAATAGCTACACCAAGTCGTAGAAGGCTCATTCACTGAAGTGAACATAAACACAATATTTATTTTTCTATTTCAGCTATTCAGAGGACTATCATCAAACCTTACAGAAGAGACAACGTCGCATGCGCTACTTCCAGAAAACTCTGACAAAAACAGGAGTTTAGATATTCTTCCTGGTACAAACAGTTTGTTCAAAGTCGAAGAAATAGCTTTACTTTAATCTTATGTAATATATAACATGTAAGATGAACACAATCGTAAAACAAATGTGCTGACATGGCATATTTCAAACTGCAGAATGTATTAACTTGGGCGAAACACATTAATAAAGGGCAGGGCATGATGTTTAACTAATGGTATTATCTCTCTTCAGATTGAACGATGGATTTGCTTTATTAAATGCAAAATCCCAATTTAAAATCACAGGCAACAGTTATAACTTCAGTTGGTAATAAATGTTAATTATTATTTGTTAAAGGAAATAAATCAAGGCCGTATCTGTGTACCCCTGTCCAGACACGAAATGACTACATCAATGGAGTATTTTTACCAGTGAGTTGATTATTACGTTTAAGCCAAACTAAAGATACAGTTATAATGACGATATCAAAAAATCCGCTAACCTCTTCTTTGTAAATAAAACCTCGTCATACATATCGTCTTCCCCTATATATGTGAAAGGTTGTCGTGTAATTAAACTTTTAAATTAACGAATTAAACCAGGAACAATATCCGAAAAAAGCAACAGCTAGCTAATCGTAGAGATTGAGGACATTGTCAATGCCATCATACCAGTATTGATACTGCTATTTTTGTTTCAGTCTAGCCTACATCTATCAAGCGTGATCGTCACCCAGACTCCCATGCCAGACACTGTGCTGGACTTCTGGAGACTTGTGTATGACCATGACTGCCTCACCATTGTCTGTCTGGATGAAGCACAGGTAGATGTTATTAGCGAAACCTTATTTTATCCCAACATTGACAGTATTATTGATGCAATTGATGCCACCCGAAATAGACCTTGTACATCAATGATATGCCTATGTGCTCGATAAACTATTTTCTTTCGTTCCCAGTCAGATCAAACAGACGTTGTAAGATAATTCTGTCGGTGCTTCTTTAAGCAATTTAAACAATGACTCAATAATTTGGTACTTTGTCATCTCCTAGGAGGTACACTCAGGCATTGTATTCATTACTTCAGTGAGAGGAAATACATCCTATGCTGTTTTTTAACGACTGGCATCATATGATAGAGAGATCATTACGCTCGTTTGCATCCATGTCGAACAATTACGGCTCCCATTATACAATTCTGATTCATTTATTTGACGATTCGGCAAATATGCATATGTAAGTATTATCAGATTAAAACCCCATTATGTCAACGAACCTTCACTGTCACCTCAGATGCGATTTTTAAACAGGCTTCTTGAGATTTGCACATACATGTATTTTACAGTTTGAAAAGACCTATGTCCTTATCCTAGATTAACTGTTTAGGAAACCATTGGAATGTACCCTGAAGAAAACAAAGCGCTGAAAAAGGAGCCGTTCACTATTGCGCAAGGGGAAGCGAATTCAAACAGAGAAATATACACAGAGAAGAAGTTAACGCTTGCACATGACAAGGAGGTCTGTTAATATTTATCAAATGTTGCATTAATATGAACTGATATCCCAAATGTAGGATGTTATTTTTTAGTTTGAGTTACATTGTATCAGATGCGTGTACATCTAATTTTAGTTGGAACATCTAACACAGAAAAAAAGTAATACATACCCTCCAAAATAGTAGGCGATCATGAAATATAAATGTTATGATCGGTCGTCAGAAGAAAGATGAGCTTTGCGGGACGAAAACCTAACGCCCCTAAACGCCTGAAACATTGCACGTGGAACATGCAATTCCCTTGTGCACGTGGGTGGGGGGTCATTCTTATTTTGATACTTCTTTGCGAGGTCGGTAAATCGCTCGGGCCCATTAGTAAGGTTGAGTTTCATTATCAACAGTAATACGCAAGCTCTCTAATCTTGCTTTAATGCAGTATTTATGATCAGATTGTGAATACTTCGTCTACAACGCGATGAACGCCAAAGGGCTATTTGAATGCTTCCAAATGGTGAAACTCAGCGAGAGATGGCCAATTTGTTCAATGTGTCTGTGATTTGCAGACTTTTGAACAGATTTCTGCAGAGACAAAATGATCATGATTGACCCTGCACAGATCTCCTAATGTCAACAACTCAAGTCGAGTAATCAGAAGCCAGGCTTGTGAAACAGAACCCCAACAGCTTATGAAATCGTTGTTCACTTGCGCCAGGCGACCAGGGTCGAAATAACTGACCAGACAATTAGAAATCGTCTTCATGCTCGGCAACCATGTGTTGTACCAACGTTAACAAACACATTCTTGCAAACGCCAGTGGTGGTTAAAGCGTAGAAACTTTGGGGAATAACCGAGAGTGATCTCGAGTAATGTTTTCAGATTCACTCTGGATTTTCTAGTTAGGCGTGGACATGCCTGGTGGCGTCCTAATGGAAGTCATGTGAACTGCTAAAAAAGGCAATATTCCAGATTTAGGGGTGGGTCTGTTATGATAAGGGGCGGGATAATGGTCCAGGTTTTGTCTTTTAAGACGATAACGATCGTGCCCACCATGCACGTATCGAAACGGACTACGTCCATCAGCAAACATTACCAGAGTGCAATGGTCGGCCCTGATTATGAGTCCCGACCTTTCCCCCACTGAGCACATCTGGACATGATCAGGAGACGTATACACCAACAGTGTTAGGCGAACGGGGCTTGGCGCTGCAACACCGCCATCATGTTATGTTGATTGACATGTTACACCTAGTCCTTCCTTTTTTCCATCCTTTCAATACCATAACTCGATACCTCTTTGTATTTCGATATTCATCCGTTATTTTCAAATATCCTCTGCTTTTTTGGAGAATATAATTACGTCGAATGATTATGATTTTAAGGAAACTATGTCGCTCTTTTCACAATACATTAAGAAACTTTTGAACTGAGATCAGATTGATGATTGGTTATAGTTATTTTACATATACTCGTGTATTGCCGAATTGCACATTAATTTCTGAGTTTGTTCCATGAAACAGAACATCGAGGAATCAGTCAGTTTGTTCTGCCTCCCATCACTGGACATGCTGACCGACACTGCTACCCTTCTGGAGCTGGTCAACAGAGTGGACAGGATCATCAGCTCTGCTGACCACAAGGTTCTGGTGCACTGCCAGTATGTGTAATATGTCTCTTATGTGTGGGTTGAGACATATACAGTTAGCATCAGTGGGCCATTCCGTTTATAACACGTAATATATGTATCTTTACTTTTAGTTACAAGGCTAACATTCAGTGACATATGTGTGTGTGTGACAATTCAGTAAAATTCAGTAAGGTAGCTCGAAGTGAAAACAAGGATCACCAAACGTTATTATGTCAAGATATTCGTGCTGGCGGCAGGGTTTTTAAAACAGTAAAGACTGACCAATCAGAAATCTGCATTGTTTAATACGCGTAATGATCAAAATTGTGATACGTACAAGCTATGTGTAACATATAGCATTTATGTTTGCTTACTAAGGTTGTGCATACCGGCAGTAAACATCGAGCGAGAACGGAATAGCTTGAATATAAACAATATCATCTTTGAGAGAATAATGGAGGCATTGTTGCTTCGTAGTTTTACAAAATATGGATAGGCGGAAGTATTCTGCGTTAGGGTGACAGCATGTTCATCACGTTCGATATACATCAATATTACCCAGTACAGTGTCCAGCCAGATTTATTGCATGATGGTTCTCAATCCAGTGACGGTGCCGGAGCGAGTGGTGTGTTCTGTAGTGTCCTGAACATCATCACCAGACTGAGATTAGACAGAACAGTGGACATCTTCCTCACCACTCGAGAACTACAGCGCGTCAGACCCCAGTTCATACACACCCTTGTGAGTAGATACGTCATTTCTGACATGCATTCGTAAAATGAGTTGTGGAAGTAGGGTAATTTTAATCTTTAAACTTTCCTTTGTCGTGGACGATAAGAGCCAAATCAGAAAGTTTGTTGAACATTAGCTGATATTATGAAAACGCAGTACCCTGTGACTTGTTTCGGTTAATAGTACCTTTACTATTGCATTGTTCTTTGAATGATCAGTTTATGTGGCCTTCATCGGGAATATTTATTCTTCTTGACGACTGAATAAGTCCATTAATGCCATCAGTGTTCTCAAGATCAGTACGAACGATTGAAAAAACATTCAATGAATATGGGGCTCAACCTTGACGTGTGTGAGGTGGTGAGTTATACATCACATAAATATACATAATAACATACCACGAATCAGCAAACCGTTTCGCAAACCTGGACTGAAAGAGTGACTACACACCTAAACCGCGCCTTTGCTACCAGCACATTGTTCAGACTTCTCCATCGAGACACACCTTGATAGTTTATGAGCCACAGTCTCGTTGTAATAACGAACTAGGGCATTAAGGTTTCAACACACATGTGCACGGATATGTGTCCGTAACAGCTTTCATTCTTTCTGAGGTGATTATACCAGTATCAGTTTATCTTTGTGTGACTAACCAGGCATGTTTTATTTGCAGGATCAGTTCAAGTTGTGTTACGACATGGTGAAGGAATATAACCGTGCTTCCAACGTCTATGCCAATCTATGATATAGCGGCAGAGCAACGAACGTTCAACAACCCACCTGGACCAGACAGTCGCTGAACTGACTGACCCATGCATGCTACTTTAATACAGAGTCATGTTTTCGACGTCAAGGCTTTTATCCAAAACAGAACAGAACAGCTTATGTCTAATTTTAGCTTTCGTATATATGAAGTACTTTCCCCATTTATGATAACTTAATTACATGTTACTGATTTTGTTTAGTTGCGTTATGAACCAGACATCTTTCTTAATCACTCAACATGGCAACTCTTGTCTGCCATTTTACCCTGTCTTATATTTGGTGTCGTAAACTTAAGATAACTTAGCGCTTCGAGAATAGAATTAGCTAAGATCGTTTTCGCTACGTCATCTATACAATCTTAACGCTTGGAGACCTTCGTGAATAGGCCGCCTGGACATTGAAATCATGCTGGTTTGAATAATAATTGAACATGTTGAAAAAAGTCAATCTGTCATTGGTCAGATGTCACATAAAAATGAATGCTGCAGAAATGTATATTTTGTTTAGGTTTGAAAAAAAGACATTTCATTGTCAAATGTAATATGACACATGATTATGTCAGGTTTCAATACAAAATAATGTAATTGATGTCATAACATGCATATCTTCTTTATAGCCCTTGGAAGTTGTTTTGACAAAATGACATATCATGTCAGGGTCAAGATCATCTTCAAGGTCACAGCCTGTAAAAGTGATTGTTTACCACCCAACTCGAAAAAGATTTACTGTAGGTTAATGAGGCTTAGTACATGTCTTCCTTAGGTTGAGGCCAAGATCAGTAGAGGTCACTGTGAAGGTCATTCTTTAAGTATGTTTGCCGTTTGCCAGTCTGTGAACCAATGACGGTGCTGGGGTGAAGGGTGTGTTCTGCGGTTTCTTGAACATCAGCAACAGACAGAGAGACGTCGACATCTTTCTCGACTTTCTCGACTACAGCGCGTCAGACCTCAGTTTACACGGTCCTTTCTGGCTACAAAGACTGATCTAATATATATTTAAATAACGGGACGCAGTTATTTATGTACTTGTGGACATTGTGAAATTGTTGAAGCGACATATGTTGTAGCTCATCTTGATATTTGCACAATCCCACACATAATTGTTACATATATTGTGGTGACATTTTAAGATCACCTATGTATAACAAGCAGAGTATAATCATATATTTTCTGTCTTAGAGAATAAATTAAAAATATGACAATAGAATTTCGGATAGCAAGAAGTATATTCCTTATGAATAAAAGTGGCAAAAAACATTTCAATACGTAAGAAAAGGTACAACTTTATGGATAATTTTTATTGGTTTATTGCATATAGCTACGTTTCGATACATAATAAGCGGCCGTTTCACATTATATAGCAGGATTATGGTTATAGTTATAGTTATGATGACAAAATGTTCATGACTAAGTGTATGTTATTCACAGGATTAGTTCAAGTTGTGTTATCATATTGTGAAGAAATACAATCTCTCTATCAACGTCCACACGAATCTGTGACGACGAAAGAGCACAAGATTGCATCTGGCAGTTATACTGATAGTGTTGGAATCATCCATGTTTATTTAACTTTGAATTAAAGTTTATTCACAGAACCTTCCAATTAGGATCTATTTAAAATACATCTTAGGGAGCATTTGTATGACATATACGATTCTTCATATGAACACAACTGTTAAGGTATTTCAGGCTTTCTAAAACTCTTTTAATTCTCTAAACTTATCTCTAACAACTGTCCTTATTGCCAGATGGCTTTAAATGTACTCTCACAAATATGTGTATCATGTTATATCAGCATCTTGCATTACATCCGTATATCTTTTTCTCTTGTCTAAAACAGGTCTACAATGTATACCTACGAGAGGGATAGCAATAAACTTTTATTTTACTTTTTTGATAATCTTGCTTACTTTAAACATGATTAAAACGGGTACAAGTATCGTGTAGTTTTTCTATTTTCTCGCTTCTAGTTTAGACTCGTGACCGTTAAAAACAAAAATTAATGTGAAAACAACACAACAGACAATTACACACACATCACAGATGTCACAGGTACTTCAACACTTGTACTTCAAGACCTTTTGTGTGTCCAGATACGTTCGTTTTGAATCCACAACCATAATATATTACATATTAGTAGTCTAATAGTCTCTGACATAATGTTAACCGTTTCCTAAAGTTTGCATCGATCATGTTGTCTGTTTCACGGTATGTTTCAGTTTATCTTACTGAACAGCAAAAGTTATTTTCACATCAAATTGACGAAACAACTGGGGAGCTTGGAAACCAAGATGTCAGAGGAACACTATGTGAATCTTGATAAGAGGACAAAAGTTCCAGCAACGAAAATCACATTCGAACATTTCGATAATGCTACTTTACTACAATACAGAATACAGTTGATCATATTCAGGATGAAACCTGATGGTGTTGTCACGTACTATGGGGAGCGGATGCCACACTGCGGAAATATATATTTATTACCGAGTGGTGCAAGGTAAATAGATATCTTAACAAACTCACACCCTAAACTTTAGGTTTATTCACTAAACCAAAATATATACGTAGATAATATTGAATGTATCATACATATCATACACTTTTCATACAGAAAGGTTAATGTTTCGATCGATGTAACTATATTTTCATGTAGTATCAACTGTTGTCTGATCAACTGCCAAAATGGCCGAACAAGGCTCCTTATCAATCAGGCCCTTATATATTCATATGCATGGATATGGTACGCAAAATGAAAACTGACGAATGCAGACTTCCTGTACTTTGTGTATTTTTTGTTAGAATAGATAATCTGATGTGTTTAGATTTAACAATGACGTATCTCGAATGTCATAATAACTTACTCTTGTGCGCTCATCTATTTTCACTTGAAAATCTAAAATATTTGTAAAATTACGTTGAAGTTAAAGCCTTAGGTAATTTACCCGTGCTGACGAGGTTCGGGGAAAAGGACGCCACACTGCAGAATATATATTTCTTACCCACGTGGTACTAGGTAAATAGGTATAATCACAACATGATACTTCATAGTGTAGACCACCTCCGTGTTGTAGTGGTAGTCTGTCCGGAGAGCGGAAGGTCGGGGTTCAATCCCCTGCCGCGACATACGAAAAGACGTTAAAAGATGGTACTTTATGTTACCCTGCATGGCCCTTGGCATTAAGGGGCTCAAATAAAGACTGCTTGGTTCAGAGTCAGTTTACTGTATCTGAGTGGGGTATTCACGTTGAACTGTGGCATGGTATCTCAGTGGGCTGGCACTATAAATCAGGCATCCGACAACAGGTAAGTCGGGACAAGTACAAGCAGCCACACACACACATGTGCATGTAGGTTGCTATTGTCACCGCGTCGTAAACCCAAACTCTTCACGGTCTTGTGCCCCCCTATTTGTAACCGCCCGGCACAACTCGATGTCATTTTGCTCATAAGGTATAAATTGGTAGAGCATTTGTTGTCTGAAACAAAATTATGTACAAGATACATATATAATAATAAATGTATCATATATTACATACTCTCTTTATTTTTTATTCAATTCATTGTATTTTTAACGTCAATAATTGTCAGTGATTGTGGTTTAAAAGTACCGAAATAATCTATTGTTCACCATACCTTCCACAGCTCGTCAATGATATAGGTCGATAATTTGAATGCTTCTGGCCAGACTTTTGTATAGGGACTACAATGGCACTATGCAACGAAGAAGACAAAGTTCCCTGTAGTCGTCCATACACTTTGGTCCTCACACAATGAAGGTCCATACTCCCTTGAACTCACACAAAGTGAAAGTCAAATTCTTAAATATGATTGTAAGAAGGAAATACAAAGCATAAATAAACAAAATCAGTGAAGACCGATATAGTACATGTATATGTCACATGGTAAAATTTGTTAAACTTACAAATACATGTCATATTTGTATTCATTAATTGTATGGTTCGTTGAATAAAATATATTTACAGCTCTATATTTGGACTCCACTTCATTGCCATTTGTATCTTAGGGGAGATAACTCAATATCGGAAGTTCGGAAGTTGGCTTTGTTTGAGCTAACCAGCTTATTAGTGTCATATTTTGGATAGCAGTAAGCCTATTAAAGCTTTTTTACAAGCATGGGCATATTTAGCAATATTTGACTGTTTGCACAGTGGAAAACATGATCCAAGAGATGCATCACTTTTGACTTGCCTTCGACAGCAAACTGACATGTGGTGATATACACGAAGTGCTAAAGAACACGGCGCAAAACCAAATCACACACACTTACAAAACCACACCAATTCCACTGCAGAATCTCAATATTAAATTCTCGTTAATATTAAATAAAACCGACCATAAAAGAATCCATTGTACGATTACGATTATATATTTAAGCAGTGTTTATGAATCACTATCAAATAGTGATAATATCAGGTGTTCGGGAAACATGAACATATCCTTCCCGACCGGTGGAATCCGTCACGAACACACGCAAATGCAAGTCGAGCGTTTACCTGAACAAACACGGTAACATATGGTACTACTCTGAGAAGAGAATTGCATCAGGCATAAGTTTTGTAACTGATGCATCTACTTGTCTATCATAAGTTTTTCTAAGGCACTGAATGTTTGAACCCTAATAAAACAAACTTTTGAGAAAAAGTCGTTTGACGCTCTTGGAAAGCTGCGTAGAATTAATTTATCCTATGTTCCTAAATATAAATTATCTCCAGAACACTTTTTCATCTTATGTTAAGTATCTCAGCGAAGATATTTGTAAAGTGTTATTTGAAGAATATATATTGTTGGTAGATCAAAATGTAAATGCTGCAGTATGTAAGCTCAGAGATATCATATTCTACTGTGCAATGTCAGCTGGTGCTGTTTCTATAGGATCTTCAGGTAGACAAAGATATCAGCCTCCGTGGTTTGATAAGGAGTGCGTGTTTTTGAAGTCTGAGAAATACAGACTTTTGAATAAATTTAGAAGTTGTAAGTGTGATTCAAACTTAAAGCAGTACATATCAGCCAAAGATGGTTTTAAGAAATGTTGCAACCAAAAGAAACTTTACTATGACTTACATCTAAATGAAGAAATCGATACCGCTGCTAAACACAGTGATTGTAAACAGTTTTGGAAGACAGTTAAAAAGGCCATATAGAGACGTCCACTGAGAAGCTATATATCTCCAAGTGTTTGGCTTATTTACCTTAGAGATCTTCATAATCCCTTACAGGGAACTGATAATAATGAGTTTGATTGTGTTGTGGAGGAGTTTCTGCTCTCTCATACATGTGATAGCTGTGATGATTTACCCTTTTCGGATGAACTCCTGTCAGGTAAGATCATTGAAAGAGAGGTCACGGACGCTATCAATAATCTGAGTATGGGCAAGTCCGCAGGTAAAGATGGGATACTCCCTTAATTCTTGAAACTACATGTACCATCGTTTCTCTTTACAAAATACTTGAAGTTGATTCCAGAATCTTGGAATATTAGTATGATTTTTTTATTATATAAATCTGGGTCAGTTTGTTGACCAAGTAATTATAGAGGCATTTCACTACTAAATGTTATGGGAAAAATATCAATGTAAATCATAGAAAAACGTTTGAGAATATGGATGGAAGTAAATTATTTACTGTCCGAATCTCAAGCAGAGTTCCGACCAAACTACTCTAGTGTTGATAATTTGTTGGTTTTACAAGTTCTTTGTTCTAAATATTTGTGCAAAACCAGAGGTCGCTTTTATTGTGTATTTATTGATTTTAAAAAAGCTTTTGACTATGTTAATAGGAAAAAAATTATGTATTTACTTATTACGAAAGGATGTCATGGTAAAATGTCTGTACTTTAAAAAAACATATATTCATCAGACAGCGCATGTATAAATTTTAAGGTCAATAATGAACATACGGACTTCCTCCGGTGTACTACAAGGTTGTGTTTTAAGTCTGTTGTTGTTTATATTTTTCATAAATGAACTTGCTAGGGATATTTGTAACACAAGAAATAATGGACATTATGCTCCTTCTCTTTGCTGATGACGTTGTCATTTTTTCCTATTCAGTAAATGTCTCGCAAAAACAGTTAAATGTGTTACAGAGCTACGGTTCAAAATGGAGTCTTGAAATAAATCTGAATAAAACCGATGCTGTAGTTTTCAGAAAAGGTGGTATTGTTACAAAACATGAGAAGTGGTTTCTAGGTTCGTCTGCCTTGAGTGTAGTCACTTACTATAAATATTTAGGTCTTATGTTCTCCTCTTGATTGTCATGGTCTATGGCATGTAAGCAATTAGCTGTTCGGGCGTCGAAAGCCATTATGCCTCTTTATAATTTATTCAGGGAAAATAGCTGTGTGTCTTTTTCACAGCATGTACCATTTTTTAAGGCAAAAGTATGCCTATACTTCTGTATGGTTCTGAAATATGGGGTGCTAAGTATTACGCTGCAAATGAAAAAGTTCACACTTCACACTTCAAATGTTTTTGGGGGGTTGTTAAGTTTGCCTCAAACAAGGCAATCCTTGGTGAAACAGGCCGTAGTAATATTTTTGTAGCCAGCCAATTAAGGGTAATTAAGTATTGGATTAAATTACTTAGAATGATGCCTGATAGATACCCATATTTGTAACAAAATGTTAAAGGTACTTGATGCTAATGGTAAAAATACTTTATTTTCAGATGTGAGAAATCTATTATTTGTTATAGGCTTTTCATATGTATGGATTTCCCAAGATGTGGGAGATCCACAGTCATTTTTATATTCATTTAAGTAAAGACTAAAGGATATAGTAGCAACACAGTATTTCTGAATCACTTTATCTTAGCAATTACAGCAAAGTCAAATCATTGTTACAAACTGAAAGGTATTTAACTTGTTTAAATGATAAAAGTTTAATCAGAGCTTGTTGTAAACTTAGAATTGCATTGCACAATTTTAATGTAAATGGATGTCGCAGGTCCAAAGACGGTGAAATTGTAAACTCTATTTGTACAAACTGTTCATCCGGAGAAGTAGGGGATGAATACCATTGTCTTTCTTATATGTGAAACGTATTCCCATTTAAGGTATAAATTTCTCCCCATGTTGCAAGGTATTTAAAGACTGTCAATTATGCATAATCTATGCATAGATCTCAATATGAAACTAAGAGGTGCTTTTATTGGTCTCTCCTGTACATTTTCTAGTTCAGGTGGGTAGATCATGGGATGGAACAAATGTTATATTTAGGTACACAAAGTACAAGATCTAGTCTACCAGTTGTCGTACTTTCATTTTTGTGGAAGTCTTGGTGGCTGAGCGGGTTAGATTGCTGAAATTGTGTGCTGGTGATTAGGTGTGGGTTCGAATGACTCAGCCCCAAAAAGTACCAGAATCTGTACTTTACTAAGAAAGTGTTATCTCAAATATACCATTTGTTACATTTGACCACTTTCTAAATGGCATTGTGTTTTCATTGGATGGAACTTGGCTATTCGACCGTTATCGGACGCTATCTGATCAGCGAAGTTAAACTTCTTGGTCAAATTTCCTTTTACAATCACACATGAAATATTGGAAAGTTGTATTGTGAATGCACACAGAAACCCGTAAAACTATGTAAAATATGCAGCAAGGGTACTGTAGAGTCCGGATGTGATTTGAGAATACTGACGAAAATTCAGATAGTTATAAATAAGTTATGTCGTATTTATACATTTATATAACCTGCCTTACCCCATGTCTAATAACAGGTGTACCCTGGAAATTTGAGATGTTTGAGATTTGTTTTCCAATCAACCCAAAAGCAAACAAGGCTTGCACAGATCATGCAGGGATGTGACAGACAGCATGCCTCGATCATGTGACCCTTATCTGATTCACTCAATTCACTTCCTTGTAGCCTACACATGCTCTCTTGTACAGACAGTGTATTGGGCAAGTGTGAGGCGTTGACGTTCGAGGTGAGTACTGACATAGTTCTGTTCATTTTCGTCTAACCTTTTGTGTACGTGAGTGAAATCTCCTCATGTGAATAATACATGATATTATGCATCGAAGGTAGATCTGTATGCGTTAATATCCTATTATGTGCCTAGTACTTCGCTATTACTTAACTGTGCTGCCCTACACTGTCCTATTTAACCATGCAATTGCTCTAGATTCAAGGGCAGCTATTGTAAACACATGATCACATTTCAACCACACTGCACCTTGTTCAAATATCTCAAATGTTAGGTTATTCCTTCTGCAAACAAAAGTCCCTCCTTACTGTGTACACCTGAAACATCTTGCTTGAAAATACAGTTTGAACCTGTACTGATAGGATGGACAACCATGAGTGTTTACATTTTTCTTATATGCACTTTACCATCTTTTGAAAAAGAAACACGTCTTTTAATTATGATCCTCGTAATCCGTGTAATGGAAATACAATGTGGGCTGTGCTCGGGTCGGGTTGGCGAGTGAATGGATGTGGTCCTATATAAAACAGAAAGTAAAGACGTTAAAGTAAATGCGTCTTTGTGCAAGCAAAGGGAATCATGACTCAGTTGAAAGTAACTGTTATATGCGTCCACCAACTTACGGCACGGCTTGAGATACAACACGTAAGAAAAACACCTATGAACTATAAACTGGTGGGTATAAAGTGAAAGTTATCTGTTACAGGTTAATGTGGTAAGGTTAAGTCAGTCCATTAAACAAAACACAAAGAGTACGAAAAATGTGGAAATATACTTGCTTTAAAACTCCAACAGACATGCAGTGCTTCTCCCGGTTAGAATGTATGAATGAATAAAAGTGACCAAATACATGTTTAATCATAGGAAATCTCAACTAACAGCCATCACATGATGTCGACTATATTATGAATCACCATCAAATAGTGATGATACCAGGTGTTTGCAAACCAGTGCTCGTATCCTGCCCCGCTTGTGGCAACCGTCACAAACACATGAAAAAGCAAGTCAATTGTTCTTTTAAAAAACAAAACACGGGTAAATATGGAACCACATAATATAGTGGATTGTAACTGACATACTTTTTGTCCCTGGTGCGTCAAATTTGGAAATGTCCTCAACATGTCTACCATAAACGTCATTGAAAGCGTCACCGTGGCCTTTAATATTGTAACCCTCATCAAACAATTTTTGAGCAAGTGTAGTACGACGCGTATGACGCTCATTGAAATCTTATCGAGTATGCTCAATTGTACCTCAATAGTTGTAAAATCAAAACAACAAAAGTTGGAGCTGTTGTAATATTGTTCGACACAAAGGGAAAGTTGCATTTGAGAATTTTAGGTCATCCCTTTTGTCATACAGTTTTGTGGACAGTACTTTGTCACTCTGAATCTTTAAACACAGATCTACATGCCAAACAAATGAGGCGGTTACTTCATGACCAAATTCCCTTGGTATGAGTTTGCACTTCCGAGCAAACAGATCAGCAGTCATTATGGTATGGTGGGCTCATATATGAATTGGGGTGATATATTGGTATTATATACACATGCACAAAAGTTAAGCGTCACCATATTCATAGTCTCTTGATTTCACGTGTGGGAATCAGAAATACGAAATATGATTATGTATGACTGAATTAGGCTTCCATATTTTCATGAACACAAATTTGTCCAGATACCACAAGGAAAGCGTGCTGTACGTGTTGCTGCAGTTCACCTACCCTATAAATAGTGAAATTCAAGTTTCAGACACGTGGTTGCATTTTACTCCTGTGTGAGATTCCCCTTCCAATAGACCCATGGTGAGGAGAAAGTTAACGAACGCTGAAAGATGGCAAGTGATAGGCATGAAAAAATGCTGGCATGTCATGCAGGGCCATTGCAAGACAAATGGGTCGTCATCACAGTGTTATCACTCGTTTGATTGTCAAACATGGTCAAACCAATGATGTCAATGACAGGCATAGGTCTGGTAGGCCACGAAAGACCTCTAACAGAGAGGATAGACGTCTTTTCAGGATAGTCAGACGAAATCCATTTGCCACTTCAACAGATTTAAGCTTGCAGTGTATTACCCATCGGATACTCTCGACGATGACCGTAAGGCGTCGTCTCAGAGCGGCTAGTTATAACGCCAGAAGACCAGTAAAACGTCCTCAACTGACTGAGAGGCACATGTGGAATCGTCTGATATGGTGTCGTGCCCGTATACGATGGAACTTGGCCAACTGGCGAAGGATCCATTGGTCTGACGAATGTCCAATGCTGCTACGAACTGTTGATGGTCGAATACGTGTTTGGAGGCAACGTAACAGTCGTTTTGCACCAAGGAACATCCAGAAGACGGAGAGTCTGTCATGATATGGGGTTGTGTTTCCTTCGGCTGCAAACTTACGCTGGTGACAATTCGTGGAAACCTAAATGGCCAACAATACCAAGATGCCGTTCTTCTTCCAGTGGTGGTCCCTCATTTTGACAACCATCCTCTTCAGACAAGACCTGTTTACATGGACGACAATGCTAGACCACACAGATCGCGGGCAGTTTTGGCTTATTTGCGTCAAGAAGCTATTGCCACGCTTCCTTGGCTGTAGTCCGATTAAGCATCTCTGGGACATTCCTGGCCGGAAAATCAGACATCGCTGGACTTGAAGCCACACTCCATGAAGAATGGATCCGTTTGCCTAAGAGAAGCATTCAACGACTTGTAATGAGTATGAGGCGTAGGGTTGAAGCTGTGGTCAATGTCCGTGGATCATACACACGTTGCTGACGTTTCTGTCTTGCAATAGACTCTGCACTCCCTAGGGTGTCTATGTGACACCTGATATGGTCTACTGATATCATGACAGTTACATGACAAAAACAGTTTTTCAATGTTTTCTAATCCTTCAATTTCTGGTCTTCGGTAGAATTCTTTTCTGCTCATATTCTTTTGGAACACAAGATAAACTTGCTTTGGGTCAACTTTTGCATCACATGAGGTTTACATATACGGCTTATAACAGTCGGACATCTCGTTATAATATCCAAACTGCCGGTGTGAGAATTCATTTTTTTCAATGAATGATCATTTTATTAATTAGCTAGAAACCAATTGATGAACTCACTATTGTTAATTATGAAATATACTTGGGATTATACTTGTCATTCACATTAAACTGTGGTTTTGAAGGCTAGCGCAATCATATCAGGCATAAGGCAGCAGCTATCAGGTTTTCAAAAATTAATCACACCATATTCATTGCATTGAAAGGAAAAGAAATAATGCATCCTTTTCTTGCAGGGTATATAAAAGTGTCCACAGAATAAACCAAAATGTACACAAGTGCTTGTTCGTGAAATTTGTATTTGCTTTTCAGAAATATAAGGCATTGTTTACTTTAATAAACTCGAACGTACTGTGCATTGTAAATGAAGAATGATTACGATAAAAATATTTATGATTTTATTACAAACATAACGGCTTTGTATTGATCACGTGAGATGCTTCATACAATTATCTTTGGATCAGTAGAGACATTAGTATGACTGAGAAGTGTTGATGTTGGAGGTCTGGTCAGGTTGTTATTTATATGAACATTGAATTGTGTTTTCAATGGCTTTGAGTATAATATCGAATTATTTGTCTATTGAAAACGTACTATACATGTATCGTTGTAGCATAGTAACGCCAGAACGTGATGTTACTTTTAAATTGTGACATCATAAGGAAAATCGCCCCTCCAACATCTTACGGAACTTGATAATATAACTTTACATTTGTACAGGAGAAAGCCATTTCGATCAACTTGGAGCACGCTTCTCTCTCTCCATTTCATGTTATGATCATTATGCCAAATTAATTCGTCCAGATTAATATTGCACTACAAGCACATTTTGCCTCCGTGTCCTTTGATAACAGTATATATATTCGTCTAGAAATATTGAAAGTTTAAGGCGATTCTGATACTTTAATCGAAGCATGCTGATATATCTGTTATAAAACGCACTCTGGTGAGATTCGCTATTTATGTTATATGGATTGTGAAAGATACTTTGTATTTTCATTTAGGTATCCGTCATGGGTCGGTTCTTGATTGGACTGCTGGTGGGATGTGTCATCGTCACCCTCGCAGGTAGGAACGCTATTCACAGAATGAATGTGAAATATGTTTAAATATTTGACTTAGCTGTTTGTTTGATTCACAAACAGTTAGCTATCCTCAATCCTAAATATTTTCACTTAATATAAATGGTGATCACTATCAATAAGTGGATGTACCGTTTTTTAAACAGATTCAGAGTGTCACTGTACCACCACTACTGCCTGCGTCGTGTTCCCCTCTACTCCCTGTAGCCAGGTCGGCCGTCCAGACAGATGTCAGGAGGGATGGTTCGGTCCTTACTGCCAGAAACGTGAGTGAGAGGTCGATGGGTAGGTGTACTATCACAAATACAAATCACTGATCATTGTGGATCTATTATGTATTTATATTTTCAGAAAATATTGCATTGAGGAGAACATGCATCCAGAGCAGTACATACACGTACGGTCCAGCATATATATACGGAGCAGGACTTGCTGTAGATGGTAGAGCCACCACAAATGCCAGCAGCATGCCATTAACATGTGCTCATACAGAGCAAGAGACAGATCCCAACTGGACTGTGAACCTGAACACTTCAGTTCCAGAAAAGATACTACACATCAGAATGTATCTACGTGATAACCGTGAGTACACTCACACATGAAGAGGCCCGTGAAGATCCGGGGTAGAATAGGTCTTCAGCAACCCATGCTAGCCGTAAAAGGATTGGGTGGTCAGGCTTGCTGACTTGGTTGATGCATGTCATCGTATCCCAATTGCGTAAACAAATTGCCCTGCCTACCTAAACTAGTGCTAAGAACGCCAAACTTGCAGCGCGTACCAACAGTGGACCCAGTTTATTACAGAGGATATTGTCACAGCTCGCTTTCAACTTTTAAATTTAGTCAATTTGAATCAGTTTTACAACAAAAAAACATGCAACACGTTCGAAATGTGTTGTTGCTTTTTCTACATTAACCGTATTAAATGCCAGTTGACAATTGAAGTTAACATCGGCGAGTGCGCGAATGCCAGTTGAATTGAGTCACGCGTGGACGTAACTCTTACAACGGCTCAGCTAATGTACAGGCTTATTTGCACAGGTACTTAGTAATACAGAGACAAATTAATGTGAAAAAATGAATGAAAATATTATCCAAGATAGCAACAGAGTATAGAGTAATTTATATACTAGAATAGTTCTTTCCGTCTCACTTATCTTGTATTTGACAAGACAAGACTACTCTATCATAATTTGCATAAGTAATTGACAGTTAGAAACAGACCTCCATCTCATGTTACAGTAGCAAGTTGGGCCCCGCATAAGCATACATGTAGGTCCCTATAATTATTTTGTTTGTCCCATGGAAATTCTAAATTCCGTTCGGTGGTCTTGATTGTGTATCATTGTACCCTGGCGGTGTGGGATCTTGCTTCTAATTTCAACCGCAGCTTTGTAGGGGCCATAACCTTTTATGTACAAGCCGTCATATATATATAGTACTATGCGGAGGGTGCGATCTGACGCAGCAAATAAACAAATAGCACAATAATTCATTTAGTATAAAACGCAATTAACTACACCACTCAGAGCAGTAGTGATACCGGAGCAACTATCTGTTTCTCAAATAATCGATCTGAAGGCTTTTGAAATTATTATGGTTCGCAAAATAGACGTCAGATCGTGAGTATTCTGTTTGCATTTATCCATGATACGTATCGTGTGTAAATTTTATCAAAGTGATCATGAATTCATCAAATGCGAAAAGTTATTGTGTTTGGAAACAAGCACTGTTGGGAGACTTCATTTTCTCACAACAGAGTAACAGTTCACGTCCTGACCTTGTGACCACGTCGTCTGTATAGGACAGGAAAATTCTGAACTTGCCTGCTTTGACTCTTTGCAAATCTTTAACACTGTTAATAAGTCATTAAGGACTACCGTACGTTATAGAGATCATGGCTAGATTAATTAAAATATCAGTTCTCTTTGTAATGATTTCACCTGATGAAGGAGTAAGCATATACTCCGAAACGTTGTGTTCCTCATGATAAAGAAGTTGACCTTCCTTATGTGTTTCACTTCTAAATGCCTTTCAAATACTTAACTCTCGAACAGTTACGTTTCTGGCATCATCCAGATTTAAGCTTGCATGAATTTCACTTGGTGTTTTAAAGTTAACTTTTATTGCAAGAATAATAAGAATGTGCGTGGACAACTTTCCTCTCTTACAAAGTTATCATTTCGTCATCATAGATGTAAAGTTCCTTTTTAAACTGTTTCTGAACATGAACAGTCTTCTACTTCCAGTCAGCCCTTCCACTCACCACGTCCATTTCCTGTCCATATGGGGTTAACGAAGTGATTTGGTTTACCGACACTTTACATTTCCTAGGTATCTTCAAGTAGGATGTTCATCTGAATACATACTTCCACTGAATGAATACGATAAAAGTCCAATTATCTATATATCTTTGTACGGTTTTTGAATGATTGTTTATTGTTTTGTTTAACACCACACTTAGCAATAATTCAGCTGTATGCTGGCGGCGGCAAAAAACGCATCTGGACCAGACAATCCAGTGAGATATTATAAACAATGATCCACTGAGCTTGACCACCCGATCGCCTCTTACGACCAGCACATGTTGCTGAGGACCCATTCTTACCCGGAATCTTCACAGGAGGCCTTTAACTAGTCACAATTTTTATTGATCCGTGCTTGATCACATTTTGTATTCATTCTGTACAGTGTTAGAAAGAAGCAACGGCATGGAGTTACTTGTTGGCAGCAAGATGTGCTACAACTGGTCGTCAACTGAACATCCTCCTCCTTTAGCTAACGTCACCTGCCGTCAGCCATTGACAGGAACCACGGTCACTATACGGATACCTGGTCCCAGGAAATTCCTTACTTTGTGTGAGGTGCAAATATTTGGTATGTCATGGGCTGTGTGGATTCACCAATTTGATAATGTTGTCATATGGTATGATCAAAGAGCTTTATGTATGGATTGATATGTTTGTTACCCAATATTAGAGTGGAAACTGCTTTCATCACCAAACTTGTTGCACCTATCCATCGGGAAATATAATCTATAATATAATCCCTTATAAAATTAAAAGAGTTGTTTCACTGTGATTATGATGACGGGCCATTGTACCCATGGTCTTTTGAAGGAAGAAATAACATAACAAGAACGTTAATGAACAGTTCATAAACTATATAGCAAAAGTTCCAAAATCCCCCAGCACATTTCTTCCTGTATTCACTGTGTAATCAGTGTTATAACAAAAAATCGATTCATCGATCATTTAGCTGCAATGAAATATGTTATTATAAAATTGAACGTAACCGATATCCGATAACAATATAAGCATATTCCGTCTTCCATTAGACACCGGTCTACATATGTACATGATGAATATATTTCAATATGTTAATCAGTTTGCAGTGATGGCTGGTTTTCTGAAGATTGTGACAAACAGTGCCGGTGCCTTAGTAGTACTGATGTATGTGACAAGATAACTGGTCACTGTTCTAGTGGATGTTTCCCAGGATATATTGGTTCCGACTGCCAAACAAGTATGTGATGAAACAAGAACGTTTCACGGGAGCCATTGGGGGATATTTCGTATACGCTTAAATACATTTTAACTTTGAACATACCAATATCGTTGTAGTAAAGACAATGTACCTGATCTTAATCTGTTAGTGTGTGGGGCGCTGACTGGTATATTTAAATGCATTTTCAGTCAATATTAAGAACGTCCTTTCTTGTTTGTATTAAGTATTATAGTTAATCCTCGAGGTAGGGATTTGATGGTATATTGGGCCGAGCAAAGTATTTGTCTAATGGGGCTTTGGAATCTACTACAAACGAGGAATGGACATATCAACAGGATTTAAAGTCAAGCCAAAAATTGTTTTTACGGATTGATGTTTTGTCAGATTTCTTCCTCGGGTACACACCAGCCTTATAAGTAGTGTTGTTTTCAGTGTTACTTGTAGCATGAGCAAAGTTCTCTTTGTCCCCAAAAGTTCAGTTCCTCCCAAGTCCATGCCTCTTACTACTGGTCAAGCAAGCATGTCCTGGTACCACCTGTTAAAACTACGCTAAGCAGTCAGAGGCTATGTCATCAAAGAAACAAAACTTTTTAAATGAATGTAGGTGAATGGACAATTAAACTTGATCAGGTTTTACGTATTGTAACGTGAGCCATTTCTGATTTTCCTCTCCAAACAAGATTGTCAACAAATTATGCCTGTAAAGCGATCTATATAGTCAACTTTAACAGAACTCAACTCAAACATACCCATTATAACGCAATGACCTCAATTAAGCATCGATGTTTGGTTAGAAAATACCCTTACATGGAATGAAACAATTCTAGCACTAGGTAAAGTTCGTAATATGACACCGATATCTTCAAAACAGTGAAACATAAAAACTCCAAATCATTTATTTGAAAACAAGATGCAGTCTAAATATTATCAAGACTATCAATGACTATCAGACTATCAATGACAGGTTTGCTTGTTATTTAACGCCGCACTAAGCAATGTTCCAGCTCCGACGTTCATGCAGTTTGGCCCTCACTCCTGTGAAGGTTCATACTCCAATGAACTCATATACAGTGAAGGTCAATTCCTAAATGTTTACAGACCGCGATCATATAGCTGGAATATTGATGCGATAAACAGAATCAAGAAAATACGATTGCAGAATATACGATTACAATGAATATTATTTTCGTGAATATGTGTTTACAGCATGTCCAAATGGCCTTTATGGTGTCAACTGCTCCACCCAGTGTGGGAACTGTCTAGATGATGTTATTTGTGACAAGTCAAACGGAACGTGTCCTGGAGGATGTGCAGCAGGTTGGCAGAGTGACACTACATGTCTTCAAGGTGGGTCTGTATGATATTAGGTGAAGACCTGTCCTGCAGAATACAATTACATAATGTATTCAGTATGTGTATGTGGGGTTACAGCATGTCTAGATGGTTCCTATGGTATCAACTGTACCTCCCAGTGTGGAACCTGTGTTGATGGTGACATCTGTGACAAAACAACAGGAACCTGTCCTGGAGGATGTGCAGTAGGGTGGATTAATGATTGTTCAACTCAACAAATCGCGAGTTAGGCCACGCCCAAACGTATCACTGACGTTTGTCGGCTTGTCAATGTGTCGGAAAGTTTATGAAACGAAATCATTTGCAAACTCTTTAAAAATGAAATTCTTTTTACAAAGATTTATACATACGTGTCAATAATTTTAGAAAATTAAGTTAGATGTAACAAAATGATTGTAATAGTCTAACGGGATAACTATGCATGTGGAGTTGTTTGTTTACCGCCGTTGCCATGATCGTACAAGTTCCATCCAACCGATGATGTTACTATTCAGATTGTTTTTGTTTACAATTAGTTACACCGAAAGATGCTATTTTTTAGAAATAAAGGAACATGAGTGTTTTTCTTTCGTCAGCAAACAAAAAAGTATGATCGAATAGGAAAAATGATGAAATTATAAAGAAAATGTCGGACTGCATGCCACTCAACGTGAAGTGCCAAAAGTCAACAATGGCCGTTTCTAGTAGTTGTGTGCCGAGAAGTTTAGCCGAAACTTTTTTAACTCCCGATATTTTCTTTTTGAGGTAAATAAATGACTGAACGTTTTGATATTGAGCAAGCTGAGCATTTATGCATGTCATACGTAATTTAAATGTTACGCAAAGCCTTCTCGGTAAATAGATATGGCGAGTTTTATTTTGGGGTGTTGTTATGCTATTCGCCTGTCGAATGGGTTCGACATCAGATGCACGGGGATGGACACCTCTGTCGAATGGGTTCGACGTTAGCGTGCAGAGCTATAACATGAACTCCACAGGGACAAACAGTAAACATTGCTTTCTGCAGAGACAGTGCGAATTGGTTTCTCACAGTATGTTTAGACTGACTACATTTATGGGAAATCTTTATTTAATCAATTATAAGTGCGATAAGATGGAAGACAAAATAGGTAAAGGTTTCCGCTCAGAAGTAACGTTTGCTATTACTATAGATCAGTCTATTTAGAATTGTGTGCATTGCATTCTCCTCACATTACTTAATTCACAGGATCCACAGAACATGTAACAACGATTATCAGGCAACACGCTGTGTAGATGAGCATATGTATTCAAAACAGGCATAATGATATAAATAATAAATTATGATTATATACTGTCATGAAATTCTTAAATTCAAATCATAATGTGATGGACACCAAATATACAGATGTCAACATTTATTGATTAAATATAAAACATGGTACTTGTGCTTGAAATTATTTCATATATTTCACACAGACTGTGCCATAGGAAAGTATGGGAATAACTGTACATCAGATTGTGGATTATGTAAAGGATCCAAGGCCTGTGACAAAGACAGTGGGGAATGTCTTCATGGCTGCATTGGTAACTTCATGGAGCCTTTATGTCAAGGTAAGACGATAGGAGATATTCAAAGGTAACGAGACATTTGATTTACCAAATGTTCAGTTTCTTTGTATAGCACATTCTTATTCTACATGATAGTTACATATGTCACAAACCAAACCTAGGAAGGCATATGTCAGGAGTTACAATGACCAAAGGAATTTCAGAATAGTTTTAACACTTAACAAAACATGCCCAATGCAACTACATATCAATAACTGACGTATATGCTTCTGTAATACATGTTTCATGTTTTGTAAATTAAGTACAGATTTGTCTGTTTCTCTGACCTCTGCAGAGGAGGGGTCCAACTGGGGAATTCCTGTAGCAGCTGTCCTTTGTATGTTGCTGATCTTCACAGTGATTGGGGGAGCCATATACATCCGACGGTAATATAATTTGCCTCCTTCATACAAAGATCAACACGATCAAACCTGAAAGAAACTCTCTTTATTATTCACTCGTCATGGATTCAACTTAACGGGAATATTGCTACTTGGCGGGATAACACCTGGATCCGCGCCAAAACGGTTTCACGGGTCATGGATCGCGAAATTATCTCCAAATGTGCATTGATGTAACTCTATTTACTGACACATTAACTGGCGATATATGGTGTCCCTTTATTAGTCATTGTAACTTAAATTCAAAACATTCCAACGTTTCCAGTTTGTTTAGCTCACCTGGCTCGTTCTGTGATTGCACTGATTATTAATGTTACTTGATATCGTGAAGGTTCTTCTCTATGTCGATTCTAGTCTTGAGGACTCGGTACCTTTACCGGTATGCATACTGGCGTTTATATTCATGTATATTCTTGCAGAATTGTTACGTTTTACTTATAAATGCGAGAAAAAGTGGTAACCATCGAAAATCCAACTGCCAATAACAAGTGTGTATCATAGCCATGCTTCACACTAACCTCGTCACCTTTAATTACAAAATATAATGTGCAAATTATACAGTACATAATCACCCACTGTAGATGTCATGGTTACTACAAGACTTGTGTTTCAAGACAGCGTTAGAATTCAAATAGTTTTGAATCGTTGACCAACACAATATCGTACACACTTGTAACCTCTCTAATTTACTTTTAACTGTTTCCATAGTTAAGACCATGGAAGTAAGTGTCATTCAGTTTGACTTAATAACAAAAGATATTTTCCACATCAGATTGATGAAACAACTGGAGAGCTTGAAATCTAAGATGTCAGAGCAACATTATGTGAATCTTGATGAGAAGACAAAGGTCCAAGCAACAGAAAGTACCTACGAACATATCGACAATGCTACTCCTTACTACAATACAGTTGATCACGTTCAGGATGAAACTTGATGGTTTTATCTTTATCCGGCGGGGGTATAGATGACTTCGTTGACTATACGCTTGTTTAGTTATTGTTTCTTGTAATTTGTCATTTTGTTGCATAAAATAACCCACAGAAACACACTTGTTTTACTTTTCAAATATAATATAAAACAATACACAATGGAAATGATGAATGGTGACTTACCGTTCTTTGTGTGCTTGAAGGGCCTCGAATGGCATAATAAACGGACTCAAAAGCGCTCGTTTCTTTTCCTTTGAACATCTAAAATATTTGTAAAACAACGTTATAGTGAAAGGTATCTTATCGATGCTGATGCGGTCGTGATACCAACTGTATGTCTACCATGTCTGAATTCCAATCGAATGGATATGACATGAGCAATGCTCTGAGTAGGAGCGTCTTTGAGAATTGGAACTGGGACCTCCTCAACAACACTTAGGCTGTCAGAAACTTGCAATGAGCCCTTTAAGAAGTTCGTAACATCCTCATCCACTTTTGGGAGCCCGGGCCCTTCTTGATACACTGCATGGTGAGTACCATGCTATCCAGTGTTGCGTTGAGGACTCTTTCTTTTATCCACACCTTGAGTCACTGGCTTCCCTGAGGTCCAGATTCCGCCAGTTACAGGGACAAGATGTTCAAGTGTTTTCTCTGCAAGAGCAGTATCTGCGTAGAGAGTCTGATATTACGTCATGCACTGCAAATCCTGGTGAAGAACGGTCAACTACAAAGTCCACAGGAAGTAGGGTTGAAAGATATGTTTACAAATTATTTTGTGTATATTCAAAAGTAAATTCTTGTGTCAGAGCTATAATCTTTCAAGTTACTTTAATCATAACATCGGCAACATTCAAGGATGTCTTCTTAGCCCACTACTCTTTATCAATTTCGGAAAACGATTAATCAATTTTATGGATGAGAATGGGGATAGAGGCATTTATGTATCTTCTAAGGCAGATTCATGTTTACGGTCACAGAAAGAAATGATACTTGGGAGTTTTTTTATATGAACCAACAAGTATGCAATTAAATGTTAATAACCAAAGATATGATTTTCTGTGATAGTGGTCCTTTACGTAATTTTGAGAAAGAATACATTAAAGAGGAAGAGATTGAAATGGTACCATTCGGCAAATTTATCGGGCTCCAAGACAGTACCTATACTTCCATTAATTATAATAAAAGCACTCAAGTTGACAAGTAAATGATGGTTTCTTAGAGTTGACAGAAGTACTACGAATAATATGGTTCTTTGGGGAATGTGGAATGGTTCAGCTCCTGTATAAATGTAACAATACTATTATTTTCCAAAAGTGTTACACAATAAAAAAATGTCTTTGCTTAAATTTCAATATTTTAATGGCTTCAAAGGCCCGTGGCATGGCAGTTATAGTTATAAAACCTTTACAAGGCTACAGTGGGTACTTGTACATGGACATGTTTGTAGTGTAGCCATCTTATCCCAAGAAAAATTCGAAACGCAAACGGGGGAGCCATTTATATACACAGCTCTATATGGTATTTGAAGATATTTGTGCCACAGGAGATTATAGTTAACTTCATTCTGTACTCAAAACGTTCACACGTTATTGCTGAATATCCATTTTAAGGCCACGTGTACATTGAATGTTCCTGGCAGGAGAATAACAAGGTCAATAATTATATTTTTAAGTGTTGAATGCTTTGGGATAACAATGACAGGAGATATTATCATGTTTTTTTTCTATACTGAAAACCCGTCAAAACATGGCGAATAATACTTTGACAACGCCATTGAAAGAGTATTCCCAAATTCAGAAACTCTACTAGAGGAATCAAATTGTGTGCATACCTTAAGACATCTGTCAAATCCTCTAAAGACTTTCAGGCAGCTGATGGATATGAGCAATGCGCTATTGCGGGATATTGGGGAACACGGCGACCGTTCATCCAACATCCTGCACCTGTGGCTCTTCAATTGTAAGGTGTGGTCTCAATGACATATGAAAATGGAAACTAACGTGTAACAAACAAATACAGCACTTTTGAATACAATATTAACCTTGACTAAGAAAAGGCATGCCTATTTCACTCACGACTTTTCATATATGCATGCATTGCTTTACCATATACCACGTGCATGGGCATTTCTACCTTCGGATGACAAACCATATGTTGGGTGATGTGTTTACTTAGCATTTACTCGCCAAACAGAAGTGAATGAGTGGGGTTTTTCACCGCTTTTAGCAATATTCCAGCAATATCACGGCGGTGAACACCAGTAATGGGCCTCACACATTGTACCCATGTCGGGAATCGAACCCGGGTCTTCGGCGTGACGAGCGAATCGCCAAACAGAACATAAGGTTTCGATTCCCCACGTGGGTACAATGTGTGATGCCCTTTTCTGGTCTCCTGCCGTGATACTGCTGGACTTTTGTCATATGCATCATGCATCCGGGAACATCTACATATGGCAACGAAGAAGGAACAGCGTGAATTTTATGTATCCACGATCTTCATAGTAATCAGTAACTTGATCAATAACCTGATCAATGTTTGTTAGTAACTATCATATCAGTGTCAGTGTCTCCTGGACAGTCAGCGCATATACATTCAGACTTCTGAAACCTGACAACGATTAGTACATGTACATGTATGAACAATGCAGGCCAGACATAAGACGCTTATGATTATGCAGCAATGAGGTCTTTGTATTTGACCATGTATTAGATGACAATGTAGTGGTGGAATTATTTTCAAATGTTTGACTGTATATCTCAAACATTAGATGTTTCGGTTTTAAAACAAACAAACATATTTCACATTCCCGACTTCAAGACAATTCTTACCTATGCTTTGAAATCGTTGCCTTGGGATAAAATGATGACAAATGCAATGAGATATTTCGCTATGTAGTTTCAGGTATTTCTGGCCAAAATAAACTCCCATAAAAGCAGTTATTCACGAATTTGTCGTTTCCGTTTGGTTAAGGCGTGGCATGTAAACTTCAAAAGAGTTGTTTTTTTAATTGATATTGAACGTCAATGGCACATACTGTTTCGATTATCTGCAGAAATAGATTTCACTGGCCGTAAAGGACAAAATAGCTATGGAAACTATGTGAATAGATCACTTAAAAACCAGTGAATCCGGATCACCGCAATTATGTTTCAAGTTTTGTCAGCACCATTCCCTTGCTTATCAAAGCAGAAAACGTCTGAGAACTACCTCATTTCGGGATTTTCTCCCACATTCAGCTGACACGCCGTGATATAACTGGAATACTGTTCAAAGCGGCATTAAACCTCATTTACTCCCCTACTCCAGTCACATCGATGGCTCCCACTACTCTCGCATTGTGCGTAACTTTAACCCTTACAAATGGATACTACTCATAAAGAAGTTAAAAAGCACCCGATCTTTTCATATGTCATGGTAGATAAACTATAGTCACCTGAATGTATCGGGTGTTCTTTAACTTCTTTTGAGAAGAACTTACCGCCCAAAGAGGATCTTTGCATTGTTGTGGTCATTTCATTTGGTGGCATAGGTATTCTACAGACGTTTTGCCCATCAATTCTTGATGTTAGACATGTAGGCATAAAAAATGCGCAGCCAGGTATTGCAGAAATTATAATACATGGACCAGCAGCAGGCTGTTATAAAAAAATACTTTCGTTGCACGGACTGCATTGCATAATACGTGATAACATGTGAGTCCTGGAGATCTGGAAAGCTGCTTTTTACAATCACCATCAAAGCTAAGAATGTTTACACAGATACTGCCCGAAGTGACAGACACAATGCCTCTGTTATGTGACACGTATCTGCTTCACTCAATTTACTTCCTGGTGGCCTACACACGGACTCCTGTGCATCTTTTGTATTGCACAATTGTTGTTGATGTGAGAGGTGAGTACTGACTTCTATTCATGTTGCTCTAATCCATTGTGTATGTCTGAGTGAAAGCTCCTCGTGTGATTAATACATATTTATCGACAGTAGATCATGTATGCGATAATCTCCTATTAGTAAATTACCAACACTCCATGATGAGCACTCCTAATTAAACCATACAATAGCTCTAGATTCATAGACATCTATTGTAAACACAACATGATCACATTTCAACAACACTTGGCCTTGTTCAGATATCTTAAACCACCTTTCACTTTGTACACATTCATGAAACATCTTGCTTGAAAGTACGCTTTACATCTGTAATAATAGGAAGGATAAATGTGATCGTTTACGGTTTTTTTATATGCTCCCGTGGGATTCGGGGTATAATGTGTCCCCAGAACCCCACTGCTTGTTTAAAAGGTGACTAGATTAGGCAACCGGTTCGCCGTGACACTGCAGACACGAAATCGTCGTTTTTTTCCGTATATTGTCATTGGACGGAAAAACGACGTTATTTGACCTTTCAAACCATCGTTTTTCCGTCCAAATAACGTCGTTATTTGACATCGGAATTTACTGGGAGAGAACGATATCATCCAGCTCCTCCCTTTCTTGATTGACTTTGTCAATCATTGACATTGTCAATCAAACAACAGCGTCTACCGGTATTCTTACTTCTCAGATTTCATTAGTCACTTCTCGCGTGTTAGATTACAGGCCTGAGTGTGACGCTGTACTCGAAGCGCTTATCGGAAGTACTGAAATCAATCGTTCTGCGCATGCGGAGTTCTTAATGCCTTTTCCAAATTTTGCGTTCTGTGCATGAACGATTTCGCGTATTGTTTCCACTATGTCACCACTATTTGACAATGATTCATAAACACAGTCTCATGATAAGTTCTGAATCGTACAATGTCGCTTTAATGTACGGCACGTACTTGATCGGCACTCATTTCCCATTAACTAATACAATGATAACGGTAATAGTTTTAGTCAAAATAATTAGGAAAGCGCAAGGCTCAGGAACGTCTGAGTATAGGAAAAGGATATTTACTTTCGAAAGTTATATAATCGTCAAATACGCAAACGAATATCAACCGGCTTTTAAAACATATATTTGTAGAAGGTGATCTTGGTGTATATTGCCAGATATTATATGCATATACATTTTCCCGGTATTGCTTATTTTAATGTTTAATAATAGTTTTAAGGTTCGTCCGCCTAATTGACGGGGTTCCACTTTCTCATGTGTACATGACACTTAAGCAGTGTCCTGTTACTGTAAACAGATTAGTTTCCAATTCCATATTGGTGATGTCTATTCAGACTAATGC